CTCTAAATTTGAACAATGTAGGACTGAGGTATCGGTTTCAATGACTTATTTTTTAGTTTTCATAGTCTGGTTAAAGTGTCACACACATGCACAATTTGAAATAATTCAGACCTGGTATTAACATCTGTCCTGAGTAATCTGATCACAAATTGGTAAAACAGGTCTGAATGCACCCAAATGCATCCTGTGATCTGAACACTCAAACCACATTCACAGGTGGTATGGGACATGTGGTCACACTCTTTTCTGTGTGACCACAAATGCATCCAAATATGAAGGACGGCCTACTCATCTAATGTCTTCTAACCCGCCACAGTTTTACAATCATTCAAACATATTTTTATGCTTCTGTGTCCATATGTTGATTTGTTTGTTTTTGTTTTATTTTAATACAAGGTCTGAGCAGGGCCACACACACACACACACACACACACACACACACACACACACACACACACACACCTGCTTGTCACAACAAACACATGTTGCCCTTGAGGGAATGAGATGATTGTCTTTTCTCTCTGCAGACGGGCTGCCCTCTGATCCTTTGCAAAGCTGTTATGAATCCTGGCTGTCTCTAGTAGATCATCTAAACATCAAGGCATTTGTCAACCTCACCCTGGCTGACTCTGTCCGACACGGAGTTCAGAACCTGCTTTTCATTACAGGATTTGGTAGGCAGGTTTACCTTATTGCTGTACAATGTTGATTTCGATAGAATTTTGATAATGTATCACACGGAGAAGCCTTACAGTTATTATCAAAGATGCAAATTTGATACTTATGTCTGTGTCAAGGTGGAATGCGGCCAAACACCATTATCTTGGGTTTCTATGATGACTGCACCCCACAAGACAACCTCCAAGGTAAAATTATTCTGTCTACAGGCTACGGTTTGGATACTGTCTGTCTAACCAAAGACCCCAGGGAGCAGCGGTCCCCTTTCTTCCCCAGTGTGCGGGGCGTGGAGCAAACCAAAGATTTTCAGGAAGAGGAATACGTGTCGGTGATTGCCGACGCTGTTAAAATGGGGAAGAATGTGACACTGGCTCGTTACTTTGATCAGTTCAACCGGGAGGAGGTCTTGGGTTCTGGAAGAAAGATTGCAGGCCACCAAAGCATGATGGGGCCCTTCGTCGATGTGTGGCCTCTGAATCTGCTTCAACCAGACAGCCATGGCTACGTTGACATCTGCTCGCTGTTCCTCCTGCAGCTGGCCTGCGTTCTGCAAGAGACTCGCGCCTGGAACCAGGCAAGACTCCGCCTCTTCCTGTGCGTGGAGGCTGGTTGCAGTCTGCAGGTAGAGGAGGAGACGAAGCTCAGGGTGATGCTTAAGAAGCTAAGAATCTCAGCTCAGGTGCAGATGGTGGCTTGGGACGAGGTGGTAGCGCTTCACTGGCAGAGACAAGGAGAGCGGGAGAAAGGGAATCTGGCAGAGTCTGCGCAGAGTGAGGAGAAGATGGAGCAAGAAGAAAGAGCTCAAAAGGAAGATGGCAATGAAATGTTCCCCAATAATGCTGCTCAGCTCACGGATGAATACATCTGTGCCGTCAACAATCTAATTCTCCGACACGGAGCCCCTAAACCTGCTGTGCGTTTCCTGTATTTGCCTCGCCCACCTGCAGACATAAACCGTTACTGTGCCTACCTGCACCAGGTGGACCTGTTGAGTCGAGACCTCGGCCCAACATTGCTCATTCATGGAGTCACTCCTGTGGTCACTACTGATCTCTAGATTTTTACTACCAACTCCATCAAATCTGCACCGTTCCTCCATGGAACTGCCTTTTGCCACCAATTAATTCACCTGATATTTAAGCCGTCAACCACATATGTTTTCCTTTAATTCAATAACTCAATACAAAATGGATTTCATTAGATTACTTCTGCGATTACTCTGCATAAAATATTTGCACTTTTTTTTGGAGCGAAAGGAGGAAAGGTTTTTGCGATTCCTTCCCTTCCTGAAGAATTAGTCCTGTGCTCTAGTTTCTTTCCATTGCATTTTGTAAAGTACAGTTTAAACATGGGGACCGAGCTTTGTTTGTTGTGTTGTATGTTTGTTTATTAGAAAAATAAATTGACTGAATTGTTGTATTACTTGTTTTTCTTTACAACTGTTTAATTTACAAATTAGCAGTGTTAAAGTCAGTTGTAAGTAATCATCTCTTTATTCATCTCCTGTATTCAACAGGAAACTTTCAATCCATTTATTCAGTTTGCTCAGCAGTCATACCCAGGACTTGTCTGTTGGTTACCAGCAGAGGGCGATATATGCTTAGTATTATGGGGATTATTGTTGTAGCAAGTCTGTCTTTACTTGACTGGGCTGCTGGTATACTGTATTATCAGTGCTTAAGCCAGTTGATGATTATGTACTTTACTCCCAGGTTTTCTGTTGAAGGTTTATATGTAAATCTTGGATTGTAATGTTTACAAGATGTTGTTTCTTAAGGGTGTGTCGTGAATGGTACAAAATTATTTAAAAGAACTATAACATTTGTTGAGTATAAGATTAGTTCTTTATTAGTCCCACTGTAGTGAAGTTTACTGTGTAACGCCCGGCCTAGGATCAAAAAGAGAATAGTGAAATACACACTCGGCAGAGGCAATAATAAGTTAAAATACACAATGTAACAAAAGTAACCATAATAAATGAGACTTGATGAGATGATCATTTACTAGTCCCACAATGGGGGAATGTGTTGTTTTACAATAGTATAGGCATCAGTAAGTAATTAGTAACATGCAATACTTAAGTGTATGGATAATAAATATGGAAACATATGAATGGAATGTAAACAGTGTAAAAAAAAAAAAGACAAAAAGATGTGAGGCTGCTTCCTGTTTATTCCCCAGAGGAGCAGAAATTGTGGGATTGTCTTAATATACCTGACCAGAATGACATTTCTGGCAATGACAAATTCATTAATTCAATTTATTCCTCACACATGATGCATGTTCCTTGCACGCACTGTTCCACGTGAGTAACATGCATTCAATCAATTATCAAGGTAAGGTAGACCACAGTAAAGAGAAAGCACTAACAAAAGGAGATAAAAAAATACTTATTGATACTCCACACTAATAAAGTAAGTCACCAATTAGGCACATAATTGAAATACAATATTCTAACCATAACCCCTGTCGTTTGGTTTTTCATTTGACAAATTAATTTAAGCAAGAGAAGCTTACAGAGAGATGCTTGAAAAGAAATGACAATTTTTGTTTGTGTGAACAATGAAAAAGATGTTTAATCATTTAGCTGCAGTTATTCCATTAGCTGTATAGGAAATCCTTATATGGAGACCAGACAAGGCTGGTGGTGAAAGGGTTCAAAGACATGGCAGAAGATCTAAATTGATGTGATGTTTAGCGGGACCCCAGAGGAGTTCAGTTGAGGGGCCGAAGGACATAGAAGCTTATGAAAACTGGACGTGGTATTTTAAAGACGATTGTCTGGCATAGGCCTCACAATCTGAAGGGTTTTGACTGAAAGAAAAAGGAAAAAGTGAGAATGTAAATATTAAAAGCTTGGACATAATCCTGAAGGAGTATTGGTCATCATGCTCTGAAAACTACCTGAATGACGCACATTTTATTTGGCACAGGAACTGTGTATGGTGGGCAATTGTGAGACTGCTCCTACTGAAAGAGCCGACGTCATCTGCAGCATATGTCACGTTTGATTTGAAAAAAATGCTGCTTGTGCCGGAGGAATAACGACACCCACTTACACATCACAATCAAATTGCATGTGGGAGGGAGTGTGCTCACAGATGGAGGCAGATTGGGCTCCAAGAACTATTATGGGATCTTGCGTTCACAGGCTGTGGAGGAAATATGGGCATTTCAGACAAAATGGAGTTTAACATTTTCATCCCTACTCATTTACAAACACTAATTATTTGAAAATGACGCGCAGGTAGATCTGCTCAAATTGTCAGGGCCATTTTTGGCATCAGATTCAGCACCATGCTCGTCTTCCGCCCGAGCCAACAAGTAGAAAGATGGAAGGACTGAATCACTTCCGACTGGTGAGGGACTGAGAGGAGGAGATTTATTGATGGAGGAAAGACATAATGAATATTAAAGACATAGAGGTGTTCTGCTAGGCTTGTGTTTGAGGAAAGAGGAGTGAATGAGGTAAATGTACCTGGTGTTTTAGTTCTTTAGAAAACTGCTGCTTCTCCGTTCATACGTTGATGAATCAGTAATTGTCACGGTCTGACTCATACTGAATCCATTTTTCTCTTTACTGCAAAACCTTTTTAAACTGCAGATTTAGCAAAAAAGGTCATTCTCTCCATGGTTTGAACCTGAGTCATAATACCTAGTCAGGTTGTCTTTGTTGGACTATAACCGTGACATGTTCCAGCTTTTTTTACTGACTGCTAATAGAATCTCTAATAAATATTCATCTTGGGCCAATAAATTAGCTCAATTCTATTGCTGAAGAGATGGTATTTAATCTTAATGGCATTAATGCACCTTATCCACTTAATTTGTAAAAGTGGCCAAACATCGTTGCCAGTAATGCGATGGTGCTTGTAGCCTGCTAATATCTAGTTTCTGCCTAGAGCTGTAAAAGGATCAGGAACATCCTGTCACCTGACCCCCAGATCAACCATATGTGAATCGAGGTCTTGCTGGAAATGTGATGTAAATGGATTGATATTACAAGAATGACCGGGAACAAGTATCACAAATATAATAACCTTTTAAAATCACTTTGGAGTAATGTCTTGTGTGAAGATGTATGACTTTAAAGGCTCAGGAGTGGTGGTAGTAAACTACAGAAATGTAAAGATAAAGTTCTTCTAATCTCCTAAGTAGTTTAACACCCCCTAATGTTTGTGTTTACGCTGTAATTTGCTGCTGTGTAAATTCTGGGCTTCATACTTCCATAATCCTCTTTGCATAGTCTAATGCTGTCACCTGGGCATGAAAAACTAACCTGGCACGTGCATTTTCTCACTGGCTCACTGCCGTTTGGTGGCGATGAGCAACAGCTAGAATAACTTCTGAGGAAGTGAGAACGCCATCTGCGGCGTACGTCACGTTTGCGGCAGAGTGAGTTCTCATATAGGAGCACTGACACCCGCCCACGCGTCAGACAAACTGCATGTGAGGGGGAGCAGGTTCACAGACATAGGCAGCCTGCATGGGCTCTGGGGCCTATAAATGGAATCCCCGTCATGCAAGTTACCCAGATGCCTGCTTAAATATAATGGAGCACAGCATGTATCACTGTCCTACATGCAAAAAATGCAGTGAAAAAAGCTAATTCAGGCCTTTTTTCCACAGCTCTGTCAGTGTGAGGGTGATTGCCCCGTTCTCACAGCCAGGAGGAAGGGACTGAATCACTTCCGGCTGATTGAATGTGGGATGGAAATTTGATGATGTGTGAAAAGTGTTAAAAGCCTTTATTAGGCTGGCAATTATGAACAAAACAGAAACAAAAGCACTGAGGTGTCTTGTTGAATGGGGCAGAAGGGCCCCCTACACAAAGAGTGGACGTCACTGAGTGTTTCACCTTCAATACAAACACAGATTTATTGAATATTCTCACCTGTATTAACACATCAAACAGACTTCAGCAGCTCTGTGTTAAACTGTTCCTGATTGTTAATGTACTGGTTATATGGTATACTGTATTTTCCCTGTAATTAATATTTTGTTAAACTGTATTTTCTCTATAATTAATGTACTTAAGGTATATTATACTGTACATTCCCTATTGTTAATATACTGGAGGTTTGTTATACTGTATTTTCCTATAAACAATCAATCAATTAATGTCAGTGTCAGCAAAACATCCAGCAATATATTTAATTCCTTAAATCACCTTATCTGTGGTTTTTCTTTCTTCAGTCACTACCCAAGTCCCAAATCTACAGTTTCCGTCAGCTACGTCTTTCCTCACGTGCGAGAAGCACTCAAATATAAAATAATGGAGCGTGGGCAGTGCTGCTATTATCTGTTGCCTGGTGGGAAACTATCCCTCATTATCTGCCTCTCTTATCCTCTCTGGATCTGTACCAGTGACGTGGTTCAAACTACTGTTACTGTGGAAATTGCCCTGCGCGTGTCAGGGAGGGAGGATGACTGCAGACTGTCTTATCCTGTGGGAGTATACTGTTCTTTGTTCTATTGTACTCACAACGTCTATGTATCAACTTATTCATGGCCTAATGATAACACACAGATTGGGCCACCTACCATATAATTAATGTCAGTTCCTTTTCTTTCACTGTGAATTGGGATGTTTGTAAATTTCTTCTTCATTCTATAATATGTTGTGTTGGTGGGTTTTTCAAATGTTGGGAGCCAGGCTTAGCTCTCCAGTTAGAGGGCTGAAGTCAGCTGCTCCTGGATGTGCTTAAAACCGTGCTCATAACCAGAGGCGATCAAGCCTTTGCAGTAGCTGCCCCAAACGTAGCTCCATATTAGATCTGCTTCAAATCATTTCTATAGGATCTATTTGAAAGTGAAAATGCTTTAGATGGATGGAGCGATGGAGGCAGGGAGAGCGGGATGGATGGACTTTGCTGATCCATAACTGGGAAATTCCTGTGGTACAGCAGCATGTATGATTTTGACTAATTTTGTTCATGTACAACATTCATCCCACATGAACGTGTGAGTGGAGGAGGATGCAGCTGGGGTTGTTTCTGGGGTCACACATGCTTGGCACTTTCATGCGCCCTCTCACCTTTTTCCTATTGCAATGGCTCAGCCCACCACAGAGCACGAGGCAACCAGCACCAGTCAGAACTGGCGAGTGCTTCCTGCCATCTGGTGATCTGTTCCTTATGTGGAAACTTGTTTTTCTATATGGGTAAAAATCACACTACAGACTATGCTCCATCTGTAAACCTGCGCATGGAATTAGATGATGAAGAAATCAAGACATCAACAATTTTGCACGACTTTTTTTGTGAACACTGTTTTGTTTTAGTGACAAAGACTCACAGCATTAGACTAATACCTGCTCTCTATGTTATTATATTGTATATAATCAATATGTTATCAGGATTTTTTTTACTTCCATTTGTTACGTTTTATACATTTTGAAAGCACTAACCATACAGTCATGATTTTTTTCAACTATAACAACATGGTAAATCCCATTTACGGATCAATGCAAACAAGAAATAACTTCTTACTACTTATTCTTCTCTATTTGTGGCATCTCTGCCCAGAGCAGATGGCAAGACAGTGACACAGCATCCGTCTAAATGTGTGAATGGATGTCAATAAGTGTGGCAGGTTAGTTCCTCGCTATTGTGCCAGGATGGAAATAAATATTATAAAAGCAAGAGACACTTTTACTTTAGCTCTACACCTCATTGTTTATAGTGCACAGTCTCATCTTTCTGTTTCTGTTATTTTATTGTGGTGCATAATCGATCGGTGATAAGCTATTCAAAATTCTCTCTGTGACTAAACTGGTTTGGAAGCGTCTCCCTGCGTTTGTTTCCTCCACGTGCTCTGTCTCCTCACACAGTCCTGACGTGGAGATTCCAAATATCCTAAAGGTGGGCGTAACGTGGAAGTCGACCTAGTTTAGACTTATGATAGACTCTAGCAACCTGTCCAGGGTCCTGCCACTTGGAAAATTAGTTGGAAAATGCTCCAGCCCCTCATCGTGACATAAACAGAAAGTCAGAGAGAAATGTCAAAATGCAGGCAGTCAATAAATACAACCACACATAACGATGATCAGAGGGATATCAAGTTCATAAATTCCATCACATACTATTAGACAGTGTAATTAAAGATACAAACTGTTTGCATTGTTGGTATCAGTTAACAAACCATTACTGCCAAAGTCAGTAAATTCACCACTGGCAAGTGATTTGACCTGCATCTGGCGGGGGTCCAAACCAGACCCAGCCACTAGGGGGAGATGTCACTAACTTTAAAGAACAGAATCCACAACCCAAGGAGTGTGTGTGTGTGTGTGTGTCTGTCTGTGTGTGTGTCTGTGTCTGTGTCTGTGTGTGTGTGTGATATATTTCATCTGACTTTATTTATCATAAATAAATATACACATTTCTACATATATGTTTGTGTCATACAATTAAAACCACTATTATGTTAATATATATATACAAATGTATTAAATATAATGTAAAAAATATGCAATATATTTGTAATATATAAAAATCTAGTTTTTCTGTTATTTAATGTGACTCTGTTAGACCCAATGCAGTTGTAAATTATCAAATTCTATCGCTCATACATATATATGTGTATATATATATATATATATATATATATATATTTATGTATGTGTGTGTGTGTTAATTAAATATAAGTATATATTTATATAAATGTATGACGTATAGACATTATCCATCCATATATATGACATTTTGATATCTGAAAGTTAAAAAATATATGTATACATAGGCTATGTACAATCAATGTAATGTATTTATAGGTAATATTTATAGGCTGTATAGACATAAACAACACATCTGTGCATCGGGACACACTCAGCGTTTTTGTTGTTCTGAACGTCATACGACGCAGTGCAGCTGCAGAATCAGCACTAACACCACTTCATTTTTATATAAGGCTGAATTCTCCGCATATTAAATAACAGTGAGGATATAAAGCCCCTTATGTCATATCACATTTCTTTACGAGAGTCGAGGAGAGACTTCTCTGCAGCCTGAATGACTGCGCACCAATCAGTTGAGCCACAGCGGCCACGACCACACTTGTATAACCGTTTAGATAACAGCGTGGAGCCGCGCGGAGCCAACCATCGGCATCGCTCCGTTCACCGGCAGCTGCTTCCCGGTGATTTGCTCTCGCCTCCCTCGCGCCGGCGGTGGCCGTGGGTTACCACGTGAAAGCGGTGACATCCTTATGTAAAGGGCGTGGCTGCACCGCTGACCAATCGCAGCGCGGACCGGCGACTGCCGCGACCGCGCCCGTGGAGGCGCGAGGCGCCGATTGGTCCAGAGCGCCGTGACGTAGTGACGAGCAGCTTTCTGGACCAATAGGCCGTACGGAGGCAGGCGGAGCTCGGAGCGGAGCACGGAATGAGGTCACTAGCTCCGCTGGAGATTCAGATCTCAGTCCCGGCTTGAGCGGAAACTTCAGCGGCAGAACGCGGCGTGTCTGACGGACTCAGAACCAGAGGCATCCGTGAGCCGGAACCGACAACACACAACCTCCATTTGAAAACGGGTTTATCCCACGGACGCACCGGGAGCCACACGGCAGCTGTTCCTGAGAGGTTGGTGGGTTTTTAATTTGTTCGCTCGAGCTCTGGCGTTCAGCGTCGTTGTTGTTGTTTTTTTAAAAACGTCTTTAATGGAGATGACAACACTGTGAACGAGCCGCAGTGAGAATGTGCGAAGAGTCGGTTTGAATGGACGAAGCGTGAAAGTTGCATAACTGTGTCAGTTTGTGGGTCAGACTCGGTCAGTAGACTACAGCACACTCCCGCCCACTTTTATGTAAGGGCAGTGAAGGCGTCACGTAGTTGAGGTGACGGTGCTGAGGAGTGGACCGCGAACGCTGCTTCTGTGTGGTGTGTGGACGTGTGGTGTCAGTGTGTGTCACATGAAAATGACTCCTTACATAAACCTCCCTGTGCAGCAGCAGATATGAGACTGTCATGCTGCTTCAGTCCAGTTTGCGTTATTGTCTCGGCCACGGAAGAAGACCACCACTTACATAAAGGACCCGCTGCCTCATGGAAGCGTCCATTCACAATATTGATGTTTGTGGCTTCAAGTGAGTTGCGAGTATTTCCTTGCAGGTCTGGTTATGAAATTCATTTCCATCGCTATTTAAATGCAGGAGAATTGGTAAGAGAATCAAGTGCACGTAAAAAAAAAATCGGATTATGTTTGTAATGTTGAATATCTGAGGCTGTTCTCATGACACGAGCCCTTTTATCAATATCAATAATTCATGCTGTTTGATTTTCACCAGTAGTAATACAGCAAAAGTCCAATATACAATGATATTATATTTATGCAACACAGCTCATAGGATAACACGTAATTGGTTTTGATGTTTTACCTCAGATTTATAAAATGTTTTTGCTGTTTCTCAAGTTTGGAGGAGTTGAAGATCACAACCTTCACTCACTGTAAGCATTGCTGGAGTTTAAACTCAAATGAAATAACTTTATTTTGATAATTACACTTTTACTTCTGATATCCTAGTCTGCATTGAAGAATACTTGTTTTTTTTTATTGATGGGCTTTTGATAAGAATGGGCTGTAAATTGTTCAAGCACAGGGAGGAGGTATAATACCTAATTGATAAACCTCAGATTTGCTGTTTATCAGTTGTTTGTATTCTCTGCTCATGGAGAAAAAAAAACATTCAGGATGTCAGCATTTGAAACATAGAACCCAACAGTGTTTCTCTGTGTGAATTATAGTGCAGCACTGTGCTGTTTATGACATGTTGAGAAACATGTTCAGCTTTCGCTTTGTGCTCAGAAGAGGGAGGAGGAAATTGGACTGACACATGTAAAGCTGTTGAGGGAGAAGTCATGTAGACCTGTTTGAGAGTTCTGGTACATATTTCCCTGCCCACTTTTTTCTACTTCAGAGCAGATCATGTCACAGAGGACGCCTTTAAACATTTTTTACTGAGCCACGAGGAAAATTTGATAAAGCCTTAGGTGGTGTTGGAGGGTTTAGTACAGTGCATAGAGTGTAGTGTGCAACAGATCCATCACAGCTTTCTAAGATGTCACTGAAGATAGATGTAGGTCAAGCAGAAACAAGCTGTAAACCAACGTTCAGTCATGTCTTCACATGAAAGTTTACTGCTGCTGCTGTAAGGGGTTAGATACTAACAGCTACGTCTGAGTAGTTACCTAAGAATCCATTCAGAGACTTGGTTTAGTCTAATATCATGCAGGGCTGCGTAATTTATCCTATAAAAACTGTAGTCTCATTTCTTATTGATGACGATTCTGCTGCACTTTGATCAGCTGCATTAAACCAAGCTGTCCTATCTTCTCCCAAACAAAGGCCTGTTACACAATGAATCCAGATGAAATGTGTATCAGAGCTTACTTGTGGTGTTGAGATTTAATATCCTGCTGCAGTCAGAGATTAAAAGCCATTGCTGCAGTTTGCGCAGTTAAAGGTTAACATAGCTTTGACGTCATAAATATCTTAAAGTGGCCCTGGCCCTGTAGACTGCTGTTTTGGGGTCATGCACCACCCATGAATAAATCAGTGCAGTGTTGCACGTTCTGGACTCACTCGTTGTAAACTTACATAAGTGAATGAATGCCTCCCCACTGTTATAAAACTGCAGGCACCGCTGCACGTGGTTGTATAAGATAACTTCTGATGACACAATCTGATCAGAGCACAGTGCAGAGTTTAATACATGAGATGATGATGATGAGGTAGCAGCTTAAAGCATGAATGCATTCTGTGAAGGTCTTTGGTTTGTGTGATGAGTCTCCTCCAGAAACGGAGCTGTTTTAAACATCACAATCCTCTTGAACACATGATTGTTAAACTAACATGTTATAAGCTGCAGGTCTGTGTAATGAGATCTAAGTTTATGTTTCAGTATTGAATTTTCCATTACTGGCAGTAATGAAAGCCTCTTAAGTCAGTACTAACAATATGCTGCCTTAAGCAAAAGTTAAAATTAATTTGGCAGAAGAACAAAATGTTTTCTCTTTTTCCTTTTGTTCAATATATATACTATATCGATACTTCTTTTCCATTGTGCAAGCACAATGAGGAGGTATATAATTGGTTTACCACGACCTTCACTGCAAAATCTGATTAAACCCCATACTTGAAAGAATGAATCACTTGACATATATGTGGACATTTCTTGTCGTAATCACTTGTGCCAGCAACAACCCTGATCAAATTTAAATGTTCCAACCTTGATGACAACTTTAGCTTTAATGGTTAAAAGTCCTGTCTGAATGGACTGTTCCTTTTTCCAAAGCAACATGTTCCCAAGGGCCCAGAATGACTCTTTGATTGCATTAAAAAGGGTGTCAGTGCCCGAGTAGAGCAAAATGTACGCAACCTGTGATTGTGTTTCTCTCATCTACCTTGTTAGCCAACTGCTCCACGATTTTCCTCCACTTTACTGATGTAACTGCCTCTTTCACCTGCTGCCGGCCGCTGTGCACTTTGGTAGGAAAAGCATCATACCTGAGATTTATGTGTGTCAAGGCCTGTGTTTATACAAAAGCTACAGAAGAGTGTTAGGGACAGGCAAACAGAAACAAATCCATTATACAGTCTGCACAGTGGATTTGAGACAGTTATGTATTGGAGTCTTGTGACCTACATTTAAGAGATGTGGAGTTTGTTTAACAACAAAGTATTATTGACTTACTCTCACCATGTCATTGATGGAGGAGGTCTATATTTGCCCTGCGCTAAATACTAATTACCTCCACCAAGGAGAACATGTTTTCACCCTGTCCTTCTGTGGTTGGTTGGTTTTTCTGCAGTGTTACGTAAAAATCTGGTGGATGCACATTTCATTGATTTCCTAGGGAATAATTAATGGATTTTAGCACAGTAGTGGTTGTAACTTGTATGAACTCTTTGAGTTGTAGTCACTTCTGCTGCAGCACTTGCCAAAAAGAATAAATGACGCTGGTCAGCAGTCTGTGCAGAACAGTTCAGATGGTGAGTAATATCTCCCAGTTAGATTTTCCACTATGTGTAATCAAAGGCCTGTTATGATTATTTGATTCTCCAGAAAACAGCCTTAATCACCAAGCTGATCTTAAGTGCTGCATTTTGCGCAGAAGGCAGGTAATTCCCAAACTCACAGCTCTGTCTATTGTACCGCGCTCACTCCCAAGAGGGGGGGCTTATGTTGTCAGCACACACTGACCCAATTCAGACAGCAGCAGAGACGAAAACCCCCTACAGTATGAGTGGATCAGTGAGGGACATGTTTGACTGTAGTCACCTTGCGATAAAGGTTTGGCAAAAGTGTGACTATTCTTTCGAGTGACCAGCTGTTTGAGATGTGCAGTGCCTATAAACCTGTCGGTCAGTGAAGCTCGACTCAGTACACAGAACCCTGAACTGAAGAATCAGTTGTCGGTGTCGTGAAAGTTGACGATTGCAATGCGATTTAGGATGCACATCATTTGGCTTGGATCTGTCACGTCATTGATCTTTACATACAGAAGTCTATGTTTTTCAACTCATACATGCAGGAGTTTCCCTCCTGTATATATTGCATCTTGCAGTTGTTTTGTTGACTTTCTAATGTTTGACTTGTCACACATGGAACTTGGTAGCAAGTCCAAAATGAAAGTGGCCATTGGAGCCCTATAATTTGGAAGCATTCTCTGCCTTTCACATGCTGTACACAGTCTTTCAATGGGTCACAAGCAAAACAAAAGACAACGTGAGCGTCACAGTCTGTACAACCTATGTAACATATCTTTGTGCTTGCCTGAATTTGACACTCAGGGCTTGACATGGTGAGGCAACTAAATAAACACAATAAACATCTCCAGCTTTGTAGAGCGCAGGTAAAGTTATCACAACACAGAGCAGCGTAGGGTAGAACAATTCTTTCCATTGCAGGGCAGAGAGAAAGATATGCCAGCGCTTAGTCAAGTTCTCAACCAGGACAGAGAGGTTATACTTGCACGCTGCGTGGCTTTTATGTGACTGTACCCTGTTGCCCAGAAAGAGGATTATGTGTTTACAGTTTCTTTGTTCTCTTAATCTCAGATCTGAGCTTAATTATCAGGCCAGATCAGTTTTTCACTTAGTTACAATGTTTACTACAATAAAATAGAGCTTCACACAGAGTAAAACAAACACTGGGTTAGACTACGTCACTATGGTGTCTTTTCCATAGTTCTGTATCATTATAGGCTAAATGCATACAAACTTTTTACCTCAACCATTTGGCCATTTTAGTACATATAACTTCACATTATGTGATTATATTTGCTCAAAATGTCTTCTGTTCTTCAATTTAGGTTTATCATTGAATTGTCAGTCGATGTTGTATTTATATTTTTTATTCAAAGTTGTACTCTGCTCGTGGTTACTTTCCATTTTAAACACGTCCCTGTTGATGCTGCAAGGAAATTGGGCGTTCAGACAGGGTGTGTAAAACCCAGCACCATAAGGCCACAGATATTTTTAGATATATGTAAAGGTTTGCCTTTATTAACCTGTGGTGTTATTCAGATGCATGCTGTCTAGTGTTTTATGTGTTCCACGATGGATGATCATTTGAAAGGGTTGGAAGGTTCAGATGGGATTGACCTACTGTTCTCAAAGGCCAAACTGTCGACCAGCAAACTTTGTACATCAGAGGAACACCTGCAGAGGTCAGGGATCAAACCCTGCTCTGTTCTCTGTACTGTACCAGACAAAAAGACACTTGAAGGAGGATTGGTGCGGCATTGATTTGTCTCTTTGAATCAGTTTGAACTGTGTGTGTTTGTGTTTAAATGTATGTGTAGAATGTGGATACCTGACCCAAGCCCATGGAATTGATATGTATGTTCGGGTCGGGCTCAGTCCCAATGGCTTGGCTATCTAATTGAATTTTTAAACTGCACAAGCCTGTAATCGTGGAAAATATCAGGTTTGGACCCAAAAAACAGAAAGTCTGTGAGGTTTGGGTTGAGCTTGGTTCGTTATCTCTCTTCATTGGTCGGGTTCAGACAGAAAATCGCAGCCTGAGCCACACTCTTGGTTGTATGCACGTGCAAATGAACGACTACATCCTTGTATTATATTATCAAAGTAAAAAGGATGCCTGTATTTGTAATTAGCAGAACATTTTCATTTAAAAACCAAAGTATATATGTATTTAATGTTTTCCCAATATCTAAATTATGAATGAATTGCAGTGCATGATGGGTACTGACATGTGAAACACCTCTCTCTCAACAGATCTATCCACTTCCTCCCCTATTCCTTGCAGCAAGACCCTTGTGAAAATGGGGTGATTGTTGTTCTCTCTTCATCCAACTAATTGACCTGGAACAAGCCCAGGGCAGCACATTTCCTGATGTCTGAAGATTCAGATTCCAAGCCCTACCACTTCCCAATTCTGGAGGACCAGGATGTCGCCTCACTGTGCCGAGCATCCACGTCCTGCAGCTCCATGCCGAGAGGGGCGTCCGGGTGCAGCTCGATGGCACAGCTGCACAGGATTGGAGGTTACAACCAAGGTGGGCCCGACCTCGGCCTCCCCTCAGAGGGCAGCGACAGCAGCGGCCAGGACCCTCCCGCCTCGCTGCACACCCATCGCAAGAACACCCGCTCTCGCTTGCTTCCTGTGGAAGACGTGGAGATGAAGAGCAGCGGGTCAAGTGGGAGCGGGACCGAATCGCACAGCAATGAGAGTCACGGCAACGAGAGTCAAGGCAACGACAGCCACGGCCACGGGTCAATGGGCAGTTCAAATGGAAACAGCAAAGACTCTGCACTGCTGGAATCTTCTGAAAGCAACAAAAGGTCAGTGATGTTTGATTTAATGATAATTGGGCCGTGGAGCGGAGTGCTTCATTTTTTCTTCCTTTTGCCCTCATGGTTAATCTTCACATATTCATAAAATCTCCAAACGTGTCTGTCTGAGTTGACTAATGTCTCAGTGAGCCAAGGCATCAGTAATGGCCAGCAACAGGAATTCTCATTCTAAAAGGGTTTTCCACGTGTGTAGCCCCTCATTTGCTCTAGCTCTCTAAGTTTTCTCTTTACAGCATACTCTACTACAGAAGTAGGAATTAACTTTAATCACTAGGACAAAATATTTCCATGACGCACTAAGAATTGTGTGGACATGGATACAGCTTGACAAAAACAATGCAGTGGGAGTGCAGAGTGGATATAAAATTAATAAAAACTTGTTTCCGGAGGATTGGATTGATGTCATCTGGTTTGCTGGATTCCTCTTAATACCAGATTGGTTGAGTCACACTTTTCATCTCCTTGGTATTGCCACGGCAACGTGGTATTTGTCTCTGTTTATTACTGGGTGGAACGAGCAGATCTGCGTTTTTCTCTCATTCCCTACCCTGCCTCTCCTACCTCACCCTCTTCACTGTCTCCCACCACTCCCTCTCTGCAGTAAACTTCTAATTTAAACTTTGTCTTTTATAAACCACTCCTGCAACGGCAATGTAGCCTCAAGGTTCAAGGAAACTTTGAGTTCATTCACACCCATATACGTGTTGATGCTATATGTAATAGAATATCAATAAATCTTTCTGAGTTATATCCGCTAACACCCGCTAACTTTTTTTTCTGCATTGACTCCTGCATCAAATGACTTTGAAGTAGACACAGGTTTTTATCAGCTCAACAGAAGCTAAACATGTCATTGTACAGATGTATCAGACAAACTTTATTTACAAGACAAGTTTAATTAGGTACCTGGTTGTGCTTGGAGAGGCTATTTGCAAATGCTGTGTCTTTACATAGTCACTTAATCCTGTTATTTATACCAACAATCTGAGAGGTCAGTCCGTGTCTGTTGAGAGCTGCTGGTTTTAGTGTATTAGTGCGCTGATAAGCTTGTAGGCTAATGCAGTAGGTCACAAAAACACACACACACAAACCTGAGCAAAGCGACCAAAGACTTGCTGAATTTGTATCATCATTTTTCAACTCAAGAGACTGTTGATCCAACTCTAAAACATATCTCTGCTTAAACCTGCTCTTCACACTCATTGTACAGGTTTCTTTTTTTGTCAGGTGAGAAATCATCATGTCCATGCTCTCTCTACGGCACCAATTATCATTTAAACTATTGGAAACCTCATATTGTAAATGCTCAACCAGAAATTTATTTTATTATTTATAGGCATATAGTTCATTTGTAGCTGTTGTACAGAATGGAAAAACGCATCAGACGTTTAGCCCTCTGCTGCTCCTCTTTGTTTTATTCACATGCAGCTGTGTCACTGTGTTATTCATGTCTCCTCTGGAGACGGGATGAACGTCAAACGTTCACTCTTTCTGTCAGTGGAAAGTTTTTGACTCTAACGGAGCCACCTTGCCCTGATCTTCACCTTGAGAGGAGACACGCGGCAGAGAGCCGAATCTAAAACAGAACTTCCTCTTCCTCTAACACTAATACATGTCCGGTCTAAAACCAGCTGTTGTATTCTTGGGTCCCGGAGGCTTTACCTGCCTGAGGGAGGCTATTTGTGAAGGTTTTTTCTTTTCTTAGCCAGGTAAGCAGGTTATTCATAGCAGCAAATGGACGAATCAGTTAATAGACTTTGGTTAATCTTGCTTGCTAATGCAGTGGACTACGTACCCACACATTTCAGTGGAAGAGTCCAGTTCCCACACATTCACAGTTCATGGCCTTGAATTAAACTAGCTCCACTTTATTTTTATTTTAAAAAAAATTAGCAAAACGGACTGTGGTCAAAATGATGATGATAGTAATTCATCTTCTTCTTTACTTCTACACTACACTTCTTCCTACACTTGGCAGCTGGCTCCCACCATAAACACTGATACTGAACTCCATTACCTATAATACAGCCTGTCCCTCCCTCTTCTGCTCGTAACCAACCTGTAATGTCCCGGTCACATGAAATATATAGTATCTATAATAATATATTTTGCTTGATGTTCGAGAATCCTCTTAATTGGGCCATTATATGTCCTATATATGTCTCACATTTTGAATTGCAATTAATAACAATAATAATAATAATAGACCTTTTTCATAGTAGGAGACCTGGAGTCAAGAAGGGATTTTAGACCTTCACTGTTCCAGTGGAACCAGAATTTCCAGCAGCAACCCTGCTGTCAGATGTATTCAGTCTGCAGCTCTTACTATTTTAGTGCTGTGCAGCACAGCGGGTGCTAGATGCACTTACGGTCCTCAGGGGGGTGAGACTGACCTCAGATTTAAAGTGTGATTTCTTCTGTTACCTGGCTCCTAAATGAGAAGTCAAGCATACAGGCTGTTCCCCCCCACTCACGCCCACAAAGACAGAAATCTGCAGAGCTTTTTTTGGCACACCTTATCAACACCCCACGTTGTAAAGCTGGGGGTACTTTTTAATATCCTCGAGGACTGTTGGAGCCTTGGCGGAGGGGTGGGCTTCACTGAGTGACATTTTAGTTTTCCTCTATTTTTCTGTCTAATGTTCACTTGTCCTCATCTCCCCCACAGCTCCAACTCCCACAGTCCATCTCCTCCCAGCAGTTCAAACGCCTTCAGTCTGCTGAGCTCAGAGCAGGACAACCCTTCGACCAGCGGCTGCAGGTAAGTTCAGTAACCGAGGCTGAAAACACACATCACCTTAAAGTCTCATTTTTAGATCAGACTTATAAAATCATTGGAGCTCGACCGATTTTTGGGGGCAATGCCGATACAGATATTAGGAGGTAAAAAAATGAGCATACTGATATATTTGATTAAATATCTCAAGAAAAAAATGGCACTGAATCCTAAAAGTTTTCATATCGGCATAAGCACAGATACTGATGTGTCTGTGAAAGGCATCAGCCTAACCCTAATCAAACAGGCTCTAATTATCGTGCATTGTGAATTATCTTCTACTTTCATTGTTTAATCTCTTTTGTGGGACATTTTTCCTTGTTACAAATCTGACTGGCTACTGTGTCTTTGTGCAACCCACAGTAGTCAGGAGTCCGCCAAAGCCAAGACGCAGAAGGAGGTGATTAAAACCCTGAAAGAGCTGAAGCTTCACCTGCCTGCTGAAAAGAGACGCAATAACAAGTCCTCCACGTTAAACATGCTGAAGTACGCGCTGCGCTGTGTCAAACAGGTGCAAGGTAAGGCTGCGCTTTTTGAAAACTCAATGCATAAATAAAGCTGCTGGTTATCAGAACGTGTAAGCAGCTAATGGTAATGCAATGAAAGCACTAAAGACACAGTTTGAACAGTAAGGATGTTTTTTTGTGGAGAGAGATGAGCAGGTAGAGGTTCAGTTGAACAGATTCAGTTGTATGTATTTTAATGCAACACAGAGAAATATGTCATCATTAAAACATGACTACAGTGTGTAGATTATCTGCTGTTCACGGTACGTATGTATTCATCAGACATTGACTTTGTTTCTGCAGCCAATGAGGAGTATTACCAGCTTCTGATGATCAATGACGGTCAACCTTCAGACCTGGATGTATCTTCTTACACAATAGAGGAAATAGACAGCATTACATCTGAGTACACCCTCAAGAACAACGTGAGTAACTGAGTAAATGATCACTGAGTTCATAGGCCATATATATATATATATATATATATATATATATATAAAATGAATTAAAATTAGCAGAAAAGTTTACACTTGAACCGACATAAGTGTTATTGTTGATGAACTACTATTTGACGTGTACTTCGACTTTTTTGCTTGGTTCCCTCCACTTACTTGAAGGAGGTGGGATGTACAATCTATACTGTCATCCATCTGTATAAACAGTCTATGGTAATTATTTTCACCACAATACTGATATCTATGTTCTTTATAGATGCTTAAATCAATAAATGCTTTGACAACACTAACAATTCATGATTTTGTCAACTTTGCTTGAATAAGGTTTGAACCCAAAAAATGTTATGTCACTGCATTCAAGCATTTTTTTTATTCATTCCACAAATTTGTATTTTGTGTTCTGCAGGACATTTTTGCAGTCGCAGTGTCTCTGATCACAGGACGCATCGTCTACATTTCTGATCAGGCTGCCTCCATCCTCAACTGCAAAAGAGACGTGTTCAAAAACACCAAATTTGTGGAGTTCCTGACGCCGCAGGATGTTAGCGTGTTTTACAGCTTCACAACGCCGTACCGGCTGCCGTCATGGAGCATGTGCACCGGAGCAGGTACAAAAACAACACAACTTGATAAACATCAGACCCAGAGCTGCACTTTTTCTGTTTCGCTTTGAACCCTGTATGCCTGGAAATGAATAAAGAACTCAATTTGGAGTAAATTCTTTGCATTAAGTGCAGAGCTGTTCTCCTAAATTGTGTTTTAGTTTTTATAGAGCTAATTAAAGCTTGATTGCCTGCAGGAGCCGAAACCCCCACCAGCATACGGTCTGGATAATGTTACCTCTGAATTAAAACATTTTTCTTTACCCCTTTCAGAGTCATCCCCACCTGACTGCATGCAGGAGAAATCCTTCTTCTGTCGTATCAGGTGAGTGGGCGTTGGTCCATCTGCTGCTCAGACCTGTGTTGTTAATTCATGCTTCCGTTCTTCACATGCCTTTCAATTATTTTGTGACATCATAAGCGGGTAAAGCGTAATTGAATGCTTTTTCCAGGCAATTGCCACATACATATAGATACACACACACACACACACGTACACACGTACACAGAGGCAAACAGGAAACATGGGGGAAGAGAGAGAGGGGGGGAACCATGGTCCACGGCCACAGTAGAACATCGAACGTTGTAGTCACTTGGCTTTCACTCTAACCATTTGGCCTAAAGATCGCTCTGCACACGCCCATTTAAAACACACACATGCACAAACACACAACATTAATTTACTCATTGACTGTACACAGAGATGGTTGGGTTGATGGATGGAAAATAACCACACAGCGCCCCCATGTGTTTGGGAAATTGAAATCCATAAACCTTAATTGAGAGTATTTATGAATAGACCATCCCTGTTTAACTTAGCTCTTCTTCTACATTTTATATTACAGCGGTGGTAAAGAGCGTGAGGGCAACATACAGTACTATCCATTCCGCATGACGCCATATCGGATGAAGGTTCAGGACACCGTCCACGCTGAGGACCAGTTCTGCTGCCTCCTCCTGGCTGAGAGGGTTCACTCTGGTTATGATGGTAAGTACCTGACTGCAGGTTTTGGGGAAGAACACTATTTAATATCACATTTCTATTTGTTTTCCAGGCACACTTCCTTCTATCAATTATATTTTTACCATTTCTCCTATATTTTATTTTAGACAAGGCACTTTTCACAATGTTACCAATTTTCTTTCTTTAAAGCACCCAGAATTCCAACAGACAAGCGGATCTTCACCACCACACACACTCCCAGTTGCGTGTTCCAGGATGTCGATGAGCGGTAAGAAACGACAGAAATGCTTTTAAAAAATAGTTTTGAGTATTTGCATCAAGTCACACAAGGACAGTGCGATACTAACTAACTGAGATGATACATTTTTTATTTGTATCAGGGCTGTTCCTCTCCTCGGGTACCTCCCTCAGGACTTGATTGGCACACCATTCCTCCTCCACCTGCATCCCAACGACCGACCCATCATGATGGCCATCCACAGAAAGAGTGAGTCTGCAGAATTGAAAAGATCAAGAAAGAATTTCTGCAAATCTATCCACAAGCTGTTCTAACTTGTGTTTTTTGGGTTCTGTGTATAGTCCTTCAGTACGCAGGGCAGCCGTTTGACCACTCATCAATCCGCTTCTGTGCACGAAACGGAGAGTACATCATCCTCGACACCAGCTGGTCCAGTTTTGTCAACCCCTGGAGCCGCAAGGTCTCTTTTGTCATCGGGAGACACAAAGTCCGCATGTGAGTATCAGTCTTGTGAATATCTAAACAGATAGGCAGTCTGAATGTTTCTGATCTTCATCGATTGATGTTCATCGTTGTCCAACAGGGGCCCCGTGAATGAAGATGTTTTCGTGGCCCCGGCCTTGTCTGTCGGGGGGACAAAGACCATGGACCCTGACATCCAGGAGATTACCGAGCAGATCCACCGCCTCCTGCTACAGGTGAGGGAGGATGAGAAATAAAGGAAATGTAGGATGTTAAGTATTGATTATGAAAGAAGGCAGAATCTTTTAGCCGTGATAAATCCTAGAAGCTCGTTGTGGCGAAGGCAGAGCTGAGGGATTAGAGCTACATCATCCTTTCAAAAGACAAATCAAATTAAATAAAATCCAGGAGGAGTCGAAGAGACAGATTATTTTAGGCAGTTCTACATCATCTTCTCATTTTTAATCTTCCCTCTCTTTGTCTCTGATTAGCCGGTTCATAACAGTGGGTCCAGTGGCCACGGTAGTCTGAACAGCAATGACCACCTTCTGGGAATGTCCTCGTCAAGTGAGAGCATTAACAAGGGCAAGATGCTGTGGGAGGAGGAGGAACTGAGCAGCAAAGCCAGACCTGTGAGTACCAATAATATACAAGGTGGCCATACCTGGACAAGATCATACAATAATGGTCCATAGTCCTGACTTAAGCATAACTCTTGATTGTTGAGGCTAATTTTTTCACTTTGTGTTCAGAGTTTAACTTATTCACATTATCAGAATTATTGATACAACAGATTTGATTTAGTTAGTTGTATAGTTTATCTATTTATAATGTATCTATTTGATCATCATCATTTGGGATAAATCAAATGCCGATATCAATAATCATATTATAGTTCTGTTTAGTTTATTCCACACCGCATAAATGCAAAATACATGCTTATATGAAAACCACAACCAAATTTAAATAAAATATAAAACACAAAACATTGAAAAAAATATTATAAATTGGATTTTTTCTGACCGCAGCGTCTTGTCTCTATCTCACAGCGAACTTTTCAGGAAATCTGCAAAGGCGTTCACCTTCAGAAGTGTCAGGAGCAGCAGACAACCAAACAAGACAACAAGAAAAGCATCAGCAGTAAGTCCAGCTGATAAGCTGCAGATGCATATTTGTGTGTAAAATGTAAGCAAATAATGATATATGCCGTGTAAGCCCTGCTGTCCCCTAAACACTGGCCTCTCCCCAGTAGAGTCTGTTCAGAAGAGCTCAGCTGTGGTGCGGCCCAAAGAATCGGCCACCCCTCTCAACTGGAAGGAGCCGTGGTCTATGGAGGAGAATCGGACATCTTTCCAGGAGGAGCTGGCATTCAACGACCAGACTGTCTACTCCTACCAGCAGATCAGCTGTTTGGACAGCGTCGTCAGGTACAAAGTTGACATGATTTTGAGGACTAGTATCCGTCATCCCTGAATATCCTATATATAATATAAAGACAGATTTTATATCCAGCCTTGTACACTTAAATGTTATATGTATGATAAAAATGGTCTTCTGACAGTAATAAGAAGGTCATCTGCTTAGAACTTCACTGAATATACAGTCTTCCTTATATGTATGGGACTATTTCAGTGAAATAGCAAATGTTTTGACAGAAAACTCCAACATCGAATATTTCTCCGCTGGTTTCATTATTCTTGCTGAAAACTACTTGACAGTGACAGATGGTAAACTGATCAGTGTGTTGTTGTGATTCTTGCAGGTATTTGGAGAGCTGTAATGTTCCCATCAACATGAAGAGGAAGTGTCACTCTTCTTCCAACACCACGTCCTCTAACTCAAATGAGGACAAACAGAAAGGGGCCAACGACATACAGTTGTCTGAAGGTGTGGCACTGCTTCTGTTTACAACTTGAAAGGAAACTTATAGTCACATCATCATCACATAAAGCTTCTAATCCCTTCACACTTTGCTCTTTAAACTCTCTCAGGCTCTACATTAAGAATGCAGTGTCAGTATGTCTTCTTCTCTGTTCTCTTTGGCAGAACCAGCTTTGTTAAAGGATCAGTCTGGTGTTTCTACTTTGGATGGTCGAGACAAAAAGTCCAGTGATGCCGCCACTGCAGTAGTTGGCACTTCGCTGCCCCTGCCTGTACCTAACAAACCGGAGAGTGTGGTGTCCATCACCAGCCAGTGTAGCTACAGTAGCACCATAGTGCATGTTGGAGACAAGAAACCTCAGCCAGAGTCAGGTACAGTGCAGTGAAAAGTATTTTATCTTCAAAATACTGTCATCTGTTACTGCATATTTATTATATCAGATCAGAAGAAAAAAGGATCCAGATTTAAAGGTTGAGTTTGTAGAGATTGCTCAATGGCCACTCTAATGACAACGATAAATGGAAAACTTGAGGAAATCTCTCTCTAATTTGGGGCAAATATGAAACAGAAGTACTTTCTGAAGGCACTAACCAATGAGTACCTGATGATGTAGTAAATACTACACCTACAGTTACAATGAGCCATTATTTTACAGGCCACTACCGTGCCTGTTCAATGCTTTATATCATTTTCACTGCAAACGTTTCACCTGTCATTACTGGACTGTGTGTTTAAAGTAGTTTCCCCTCTGTCATCCTCGCAGAGATCATAGAGGATGTACCAGGAGCGGGGGAAATGGCAGAATCCTGCCAGAACTCTAGGACTCCTGCTCGTGCTGTTTCACCTCCCAGTCAGGAGAGGGAGTCCTACAAGAAACTGGGGCTGACCAAGCAGGTTTTGGCGGCCCACACGCAGAAGGAGGAGCAGGCCTTCCTTCATCACTTCAAAGAGCTCCGTAGACTCACAACGCTGAAAGCAAACTGCTCTGAGTACCTGGAACGCCAGCGAGAGCAGACCTCCAGCGATGGTACCACTGAACACCACACTGACATATCATCACGATCATACATCACAATTTATGGTTATAACTTTAATCTGCATTAATATTTTGGGCTCAGCAATGTCATTTGTAAGAACTGGGAGTGTGGCAACGTCACTTAAGAGAAGTCATATGGGGCAAGAGGCAGAAGTAGTTGATGATTTGGAACAAACGAAAAATGAAAATCTCAAAATCACTAATCACTCAACAGCTTTTGTTCTTGTCTACCCTCCAGCTGTGCCCGCTGCTCGACCGTTCAAACAGCCTGGACTGGCTGCAGAGCCCGTCACACGCCGAGGAACACGAAATAAGAAGACCAAGTCGAAGCGAGCGAGGCAGGTTGTGTCCTCGGACAGTACGGTGTCCCATCACAGTCAACAGCATCTGCGGCCACCTCGTCTAATCCATGGTCTTAACCCCACATCTTGGTCCTCCTCTGACACCTCGCAGTCCCCGTATTCCATGGCCTACCCTGCCATGATGCCAGGCTACCCACTCCAGGGTTACCCCACACCTGCTTCCATAGTGACTAGCACAGATCCCCCTCTAGCAAATTTTGGGGACAACCAGGCTACCCAAGCCCCTCCCTGCCAGCCATCCATCCATCCTGTTCCCTTCGCTGCCCCCATGGTCACCCCCATTGTGGCTTTGATGCTGCCGAACTACATGTACTCTGCAATGCCCCCCGGGCCTCAACCACCACAGCCAGTGTACCATGCAGAGACTGGAGGCTTCACCACCCAAACACAGCCTTTTTGTCAGGCTGCCTTTCCAGGCCAGGGCACCTTCATGGTTCAACCCTCCTTTGGTGTCCAGAATCCCTTCAGCCCCCAGAACCTTTTTGCTCCTCAGGCAGGTTACCTTACCCAATCGTACCACCTCCCTCTATCCTCGGAAATCCCAAAGGGCCTGGTGGAGGCCCAGTCTCGCCCCTCGACGCCCCAGTCTGGATTGGGAGGAGGACAGGCATCCCCACCTCTGTTCCAGTCTGGCTGCAGCTCACCCCTCAATCTGCTGGAGCTGGAGCTGTCTGTTGACCTCCTGGACAACACAGTGCTGCCACCTGGAGGACAAGGGAACCCCGCTGAAAGGGACAAGGGAGCAAGTGGCACTCAAGCCAAGGTGAGGGAGCCGAAGCCAGTAAACAAGGAAATAACCCTCTTTCTGTTGCTGTCTTCTTTCTCTCTGCTTTCCTCCCCATGTCTTCCGAAGCGTGTTACTGATATTCTCCTTAAACTGTCAGGATAAAATGTAAATGTCTCACTGAACTTTTTCATTGAGGCTTGTGTGGACCCCCATAGGGAGGCTGTGGCATGGTCCCCCAATAATCTTTTATCTCTTAGCCCTCTGTGATGTAATGCCATCCTCACAGTGATTCCTCAGTTAAAGTGCCAGTATTTTAATGTTGTATTGCTCTGCCATATGTAAAGTCAAATCCATCTCGACTACTCCGATGAAATGTGGCCAAGGGTATTAACACTTGATGTTATTATCCCTTTAGCCGTCTCTCAGTCTCCTTGGTCCACCTGGACCGTTGTTTTGCGAGTGCACGTGCTGTGCCTGTGAGCGTTTGTCTTGGGATAAAGTGTTCTCTAGGCTGAGGGCTTACAGCAATGAGGTAGGAGACTCATCAGAAAACCTATACACAAATCCCATTTCTCCCCGAATCCATATGTCAAATATGTCTGTAAAAGTTTCTCTTAGTATTCCTCTTCATGACTTATGATTTGCACTACCCTTGTCTGTTCCAGAAAATATATTACGTAGCATTATAACGCATGAGACTGAGAAACGTAAGAAAACGAGAATTCACAGAATTGCTAAAAAATGTCTAACAAGTTAAAACAAACAAAACATCATAGCTAGAGATGTTCCGATACCATTTTTACCTTCACAATGCTGATTCTGAAACCTGGACTTTGTGTATCGTCTGATATCGTGTACTGATCCAGTACCAGTACATTTGAAAATATAACAAGATATATAATATGTTATAACAGTAGTATGCTACTAACCCTGTACAGAAGTGATGGCTGCTGTTATTGTTGTACGGTCTGGCTCAGGTTAAACCCTTCAAAAAAGAAATACATACATAAATGCCATAGAACTCCTTTAATTATCTAGTTTGACAGTAAAAACTGAAAAAGAAAACAAACTTGGGGAAACCACAACAATTACTTCCTTTAAATACCTTAAACCTGAAGTCCTGCATACAGTTCATGTTGCTACGTTTCATGAAATATTGCCAAATTACTGATATTTTAAGTAGCTCTAACTGACACACTACCGGAAATCCCTTCTTCATCAAGATGTTTTCTCCAGGAAAAGAAAATTGCAGTTTTATCTGGGTGAAACTAACACACTTTAAAGAAGTGGTATCGGATCAGTACTCACCGATGCCCGACTCGACATTTTCAGCTGTATCAGAGGCATTTCCTTTGCTGGTATCGGTAATAGAACATCTTTGTTTATCACATTAGTACTGTATGATTTTATGCACATATTGTTCATCCACTCTTTGATTTTGCATGCAGGGCATCCGAGGCTTGAACCACATTAATAACACCATTTTTAGCATCAGTGGGGACATGCTGTTGTTTTCTCTGTGTTGTTTTGTGCTAAGACATGACCAGGAACACACAAAGTATGTTTGCAGCTATCACTGTTACAAATTGATCTTTTCACTTGAACATAAATATATTTTACATTCTCCTTTAAATCAGCAGGAGATGGATCGAGATCACTGTCATGTTGCTAACTGAGCTCAACCTTTAATGGTGTGCTATGGTGCACCTGGTTATCGGTGAGGCAGACTCATTTCCATGCTCCTTAAAGATATATTTACTGACAATGGAGTCTTCATTTGCAGAGGCAAGACCCAACACAACTCATGACACTGGGCCTGCCTGTATCACAAAGAGCGCTGCAGTCCATCTCTGAAGTCAGGCTGCTCTTTAATGCTATTGTTTTCCTGTTTGTGGTTTTTTTCAGGCAAGCTCACATGGCGACGGGAACACCAGCGATGCCAACTCCTTATCCAGTGACATGTTGGACATTATGCTCCAAGAGGACTCTTATTCAGGCACAGGTTCGGCCACCTCAGGGTCCATGGGCTCAGGGTCCAACGGTTGTGGAACTTCGGCCAGCGGGACGTCCAACAGCGGTACATCTAAGAGCAGGACATCAGGCAGTGGAGTGTCGGCTAGTGGGACCTCCGCCAGTGGAACAGGTACGAACTTAACTTTCTACATCTCATGGACAGCATTAGATAAAAAGAACACAACCTCAGGGGAAATCAGCAGAACAAAGTTACAACAAGTCACATCAGCTTTGTTGTAATTTGAGTTTTTTGCTGTTGTGTTGCTCTGTTATGTGTAAAGTCAAGTCAATCTCGACTCCTCAGGTGTGACAAAGTTACTGTGTTTTTGTGATAAATAAAATCGTGTGACACTCCCCTGTTGGTTTTCAGGAAGCAACAACAGCAGTAAATACTTTGGCAGTGTGGACTCGTCCCAGAACAGCCAGAAGGTCAAAGGTCATCTGAGCGGCAGCGACGCAAGGCCCGTAGACATGGAGCAGAGCGAACACTTTATTAGGTATGTACTGTTGGACCCGCTGTGGCTGCTCATGGCACGGGCTAGTGGCTCTTGCATGAGCGAGAGAACTGCATTGTATGCTACTTGGAGCGAAACTGCAGCTGAAACGATGAGGTCCCACTGTCTGCGCGGACGAGAAAAGCGTTACGGACGACTGCACGAGTGCACAAACAAATAGCGCTGCACACAGCTATACAATCAAGTTAGAGGTCTCTTATGTTATTACACCATAACATATCTGCACCCTGGCTTGGCTCACATCTCAAAGTTTTATCACTGGGAGCTGAGAGCTGAAATTCAGTAGATGGTGGTATTGTTAATAATTAATTCTTTGGAACTTAAGTTTCTCTGTTTGCATTTTACTGTCTTCAGGTAATAGAATTAAATACAGAAATATGTCTTAACTCCAATTTCATAACTCCTCCATACTATTATAGCTTGTTTTTTTTTCCAACTGTTTGTATTTCCCTCAGGGTTTACTGTCTCTGTGCCTTTGTGCATGACAGGCAAAACAAAGGCCCAAAAAGATGAACAAGAATCAGCTTCTCACATTGGACCTCTATGGATGTAGTGATAGTTATAACCACCAGATGGCACCCTTACATCAGCACAATTGATAGATAAGAGAAGCCAGACAGTGAATGGGACTCAGCAGATGATTAGCAGCAGAGTCTGATTTTTCTCAAGTGTTGCAGGAAGTGGCGGAGACAAATAGCTTGAAACCAACCTTTTCTTTGTTGTTGTCAGAAGAAGTGATCCTCTAGTGTTCAGAGTTCACCCTGACCCACATAAAGTGCTGTCAGATACAACTGTTGGCTGGTGTGCTGAATGGCTGTTTGTGGGTTTGCTCGTATGTGCAGTAACATCCAGCAAGTGCTCAGAGAGGACAGAGAGAAGCTGCGGCTGATGCACAAGAACCAGCCGTGCTTCTCAGAGGAGCAGAAGAAGGAGCTGATGGAGGTCCACCCCTGGATAAAGAATGGAAGTCTACCCAAGGCCATAGACATCAAGGTAGAATATTTATAGTCCATTATTGGAATGAGAATTATAGATGTGATGAATATATTTATTGGTTGTTATTTCTATTAAATTTTGGATGCATCTGTATCCTTCTGTCCCAAAGTTGATATGGAGTCACACATTCAGCAGTTTTTCGGATAATTTAGATTTTTTAAGAATGTCGGAAAGACAAGATTCGACAATTTGTTTTGGTGATAACAGCAAAGTAATTCATAAATGATGTACCGACTCCTGCTGCTCTACCAAGACGCCACCCTTCACCTGAATGTTCCAGAAATGTTCCTGTTGTCCTGAGTCATACAATCTCCTGCTGTCTTCTTTATACGTGAAAGACAAAATGTCCAGACGCAATTTTCTGGTCATTCTCCAAAGTTCATGTCTGAAAACAGCTTATTTTTCTCAAATGAACATGTGAGACACCCTCTTGCTTTAATTACTCATGCAAACCTGTGTGTGTGTTTTCCAGGTGTGCTCCTGCTGTGACGGCACCTCAGAGGCAGCTGCAGTATCATCATCATCATCATCATCAGCAGCAGCAGCAGCAGCGATGTCGGAGTATCAGCCAGACCTGGACATCAGTGACACGGAGACGGGGGAGGTCGGCAGCCAGCAGAGGCCCCGAGAAAAGCTTTTAAACACGGATGTTGCTTCCTGCCACTGCCCGTCGCTTGTCTCCAGCTCTCAGACGCACATCAGCCAGACAATGAACTGCTCAAGATTTTCAGAGTGACTTTGATTGACTTTGAAGATGGACTTCACATAAAAATCTTCATTCCTGTCTCTGTCTTGCTGTTTCAAGAGTCGTACCTGTTAAAATATCAGAGAAAATAAATAACATTTTATTTTAATATATTTACAAGCCACAGCAGGCAGGATTTTGTTGGTGCTAGCGAGGGTTGCTGGGCTCTATGACAGAGCGTGTTCTTTTCCATTTGTTTCTGCGCAGCACTTTGGCACAGATGCGCAGATAGAAGACAATGTGAAGAGGTCAAACAAACACTGAGTGAAAGGCTGCTTTACTCAAATGAAGGGGTGAATTAGCCGCTCTGATCATGTGTGATTTCAGTATTTTGTGATGACAGTTCCTTACTTACAGAGCGCAGGCACGGACTCATCCACGAGTTTCTGAAGATTTTCACTACCTCCATCCTCAGCAGGGGTGGGAGACGTGCTCAGACAGGAGTAAAATCACAATGCAAAGACAATCTATTAAAAATTATGGATTCAAAACATTTAAAAACTACTATTTGTGCAGAAATGTCTTGGTCAGGATGTTGCATTGTAAGCTCTGTAAGTTATATCATTTCTTATAATATTGAATGACAACATTTAATATTGAAACTCCCTCTCTGGTATTTGGAGCAGCCTGCAGTGCGGCTATAGGAGTTCTTTCTTTTCAGTCTACCAGCTGATTTGGCATTCGTGTTCAGCTGTGAGGCATTCACTATCTCTGACATTCAGGTTCTATACTGTTACTCCAGTGCTCATGGGAATGTTTGTAACACTCCATGACTCATATATATGCATATATATTTTTACATAAAATCATTTCTGTTATATTTATGTGTTTTTTAAGTTATGATGGAGGACAGGGCCACAAATAGAATATTCACCGTAACAACTTTTTTTTTTGTGCAATTAGGACACTTCCCAGCCTGGACTGCCGCAGTTTATGGTGGGTGTTGAATGTAAAGAGGGAATATGAAGGCTCTGCCCAGTTTTAAAAGTGTGCCACATGACACTTGAGAGCTGGTCTGATGTCGCCCCCTCATAAATATGGAGAGGAGCATCCTGTGGGAGCGACCAGGAGCCAGAACAAACGTGTGGTGGCCTCAGAAGTCAGACTTTAGGGTTATTGCACGGGTGTAAAGCAGCTCAGACAGATGCCAGGTGACTGTGTGGAGACTTCTTCACTTTGATGCCGTGTCACTTTAAACTACAAGGAAGAAGAAGAAGAAGAAACAGTGCTCTTATCTCTTTTCATTTGTCTTTTGTCTTTTCTGTTATGTGAACAGACACTGACGGCAAATACACCTTTTATTTTTAAATGCATTTCCTTTATTTGTTTCTCCTTTTTTTAAAAAAATAAATAAATCAAATGTTGCCTAGTTTGAAGTGAAGTGGTAGATGTGTTCATTTCGCTCATATTGTTGACATGTGACATCGCACGGGTTAAAATGGACTGCTAATAAAACTGATCGCCGGTCGATGATCAATTATTAAGTGTCAACGACCCAAGAAACTATCGGCTGTTTGCAGCAGATCGATGCTTGACATCTTGAACTGGGTCAAACTGCGTCTTCACGTTTGCACAATTCTACCACGAGATTGAGACACACGAATCAAAGTAACAGTCGCTGCCATGTCCGCAGACTTTCTCCTCCTCTGTCCTGAAGTCATGACATTCACCTTCCTCATGTAAATGAGTGTGTCCCGGCAGACAGACGCTCAGTACCTGATCAAAGCGGCCCCTGTTCACACCTTCCATGTGTGAACATTTACAACCTGCCCCCCCCCCGCAGCGGCCCTTCACACCTCCAGGGACCCCGCAAATCCGGTGTCACCGCACACACGCATACACTCATTCAAGACACAAGTTCATCATCCCTGGTGAAACATCTTTCTTAAATATCTTCAATAATCATGATAATAATAATCCTTAATGGGAACTGAACTGTTAAAAGTATTGCACTTATCATTAAGTTAGCTGGAGTATCAAGGGAGAAGTAATGAGTAAAATATAACATCATACTTGATCATATTTATATCAGTAAAGAAATAATAAGTAAGATTCAATACATAAGTGTAAGTAATTTAAAAAGTATAGAAAAATACGAATTGAATAAAAGCTATACAGTATAAAAAACAGGAAAGATAATGGCTTATACTTTTTTTTATAATTCTTTACAAACAATATATCTATATTATTCATATTCTCTGAATTTTCTTTAATTGCTATTTTTCTTATTACCTCTTTTATTTTCTACCTCTTTTTGACTATCTGCTGCTGAAGCAACTGAATTTCCCAGTATCAGGATGCTGTAGCTGATCGTATATAGTAATAATAAACTTTATCTATATCGCACTCTTTTAACAATGTTAGAGGTAGAAGTAACCCCCCCCCAAAAAAATAAAAAAATAAATGAATAAAAACCCAACAGGGCAGTTGACTAAAAGGCCAAATAAGCGATAAAGAAATATATGGAAAACAAAAACAGTAAAATATCAAGGCAGATCTCATCATAACTTATAAGCTGGTCATATATTTGTTTTGTTGTAAGCAGGCTTGTTTGGAAAAAACAAGTTGTAACTGTAGCTGACAGATAAATAGAGTAGAGAAGAAAGTATTCCTGTAGTGGGGTGTTAGTGTCAAGAAAGATATAATACACATATAAAGTATAAGTACTACCACAACATGCTGAACCTCTTTACTTGATCTCCTATATATTTGTGTTTTGGATACAAATGAATGAACATATGTTAACTACAATCATTTAAGGAATTGTGCTTAAATACAACACTAGAGTACTTAGTATAGTCTCTGGGAACATGTCGTGTCTAATACCTCAAGGCTCATTGTATTAATCTTTTCTCTCTCTCTTGTCGTTTCACCACAGATCCCTCTCACTGCGGGTGTTTTAAGACTGTTGACGGTGAGAGAAACGACACTCGGCGTGAACATCACAGGAACACCAGACGAGACATTTCACTACAGACGGATTGGTGTCTTTTCTTATTCATCTGTAGCTGTAGGAGCTGATTGTGCAGAGGCAGAACAGTGTCTGTGGTTGAAACCATCCACACAGGTTACGTCTAAGAAGCTACAGATGCAGGTTTTGAAAGCGTCTCTGTGATTTGCATGGCTGTTTTGGCCGCCTTCTCCAGCTAGTATAAGGTAATAAACACAGACTTCTATATATAGTTTTTTAATAAATTTCATAAATTCAATGCTCTTTGACAAAATACTACATATTTTATAGGAAGAAAGTGGTCAGAATCATGACTGAGCAAGTTATTTGTGCTCAGTTATTTTTAAAACTCGAGAAGCCGAAGTTATAAAACCCACGTGTCGAGTCCTCGGCGCGGCCTATATAAGGAGCGAGCGGATGACTCATTTCACACCTCACAAATGTCTACGATGTGCTAAGGGGTCTTGGAGAGATGCTGCACACAAATGGCCTACAGTCGCAGAGTAATAACTAATATCTTGAAAACAGCTGCGGGTGGGTGGTTGGTGGGATCCTTTTGTGTGAAATGTGTCTTTCTTTCATAAAGCTGCTGCACCAATGCGATTGGGAACAAGTGATTTGTCAAAAAGATGTTTAATGAAAATCAAAATCAAGATGAAGTAGCCTAATAACAGACACAATAGAAACCTTTAAAATATACTAAATATGGAATTATTTACACACAACTAACAATCCATTTCTAATGGGACAGCTATCTTCTATACAGCCATTCATATTCAACAAGTAAATATTTACATATGCATTTACCCCCTTCACAGAAGGCAAGGCCTATACATTTCCAAATGAAGACCCTGACCTCTACAACACATTTACTTACATACTTTAAATACATTTTAGTTAAATTGTAGAATAACTTTACAAAGAGCTTCTAAAATACCTTCCATCAAGTTTCACAGATGTCAGCAGTGTTTTGTTACCTACTGAGGTCTAACTCACATCCTACCACAAACAATAAAAAAAACATCTAGTACACTTTGCTGCTCCTTTTTAAAAACTCGGTCTACCAGGGTCTCCACATTGACTTGGAGTAAGTGAAAGACACATCCTGGCCGTCGGCCTCCTCTGACGAAGAGATGTGGCTTTGCTCGGAATCCGTGTCATCCAGGTCGGAGCAGAGGTCGTCGGTGGAGGTGGTGGACGGGGCCGGCGACACCAGGGCCGCGTACATGCTCTCGGACAGGGACCAAGTGCTGTTGCTGCCGGGGGGGCAGTCCGCCAGGCCGCCGTCGGGCAGCATCCCCCGGAGGTAGTCTTCGTCGTTCAGGGGCATGCTCTCCAGGAGGTGGTTCAGCAGCTCTGCAGCCTCTGCTGGGTCAATCCCAGGGCAGCTGGACATGAAGGCGTGCACGTCGTGCATACACTGGATGTAGCCCGCTGAAAACCGCTCGCAGGCCTCCCTGTTCACTGCATCCACTTCTGAGGAGACACAGAACATCCACCATTCAAACAAAAGTTACCATGATGCATCTGAGATGTATTTTTATTTTCTAATTTTAATTTAAGCTTAAAAACATTCAATGAAATGTTACAAACTTCCGTCTTTGTTCTGATTGGCTGAGCTGAAGATGCACAAGAGCACCTGTGGCTGGAGTAGCATAAGAATATTATTACTCTGTTACTGTTAAGAACTACTTTATCAAACTAAATAACTATAATGCTTGGTGCAGGAATCATACATTAGAAGTATGCTGATTTTAAAAGTCACAGGTTTAAGCCAAATTATTCTTCGAAATATGCTGAATTTAAAAGTTTAAGGTTTAAGTGAAGTGTAACTTTAATTGATCCTATAAAAAGTTTGTACCTTGAGCCCTGTTCTTCAGAATGTTCTCCACCCGTTTCACTGTCATCTCCAGCACCTCCGCGTTCTCCATCTTTGATTGCAACTGCACCGGGAAGCCAAAACAAAACAAAGTAAGCAACACAAGCCGAACAGAACCACCACACACCAGCTCAGCTGACGTCCCAGTCAGGACACCGCCTTGTGATCCAAACACATCCACGTTGTCTTACGTCTGTGTCCGCGACGAGA